AATAATATAGATTTAAAAATAGTTATTTTTTTAAATCAACACGTGTTAGAAAAAAAGTAAACCAGGTGTAATAACTCATCATGTTTGGGTTTAATAACTGATTCGGGTTGTTGAAAGCCCAAAAGGCCAACAAAAGATTTTGGACAAGTCCAGGAACATGTGATGGACTGTCGGACATGATCCGGATCAGCTCTTGATTAACACCCCATGGCTAGACGTATTAATCTCCATACATGCATTCAATCACATGGCTCGTCTCCTTTTAGTTCTTAGAATAAATCACTGGCGTTTCATTAATTACTATTTACTACATGGTGCTTGTCTTCTTCACGACTGACAAAACTCAGTTAAGCATGGAATTGCTATAGCTACGATATTTGGCTGCATATATATCTTTCTGCATATGACCCAAAAAACCCCATACTGTCCCGCTAGTAACTTTCATCTTCATTTCCGTACCACGTCAAAGGTTTTGTTGGGATGTCGCGCCTAGATGCAGCTCCTTTGACCGTTGTTGATTTGGCAAGAGACAGGCAGACAGTCATCTCTTCTGGCTGCACTCGCTACCTAACATTACTCGTACGTGTCTTCTTGCATGCCAAACCTGGAAGCCAAGTGTTTACATGCATGCTTAGCATCCACCTTGTATAAATTAGTTCATCAATTCTCTCCACCAATGTAAAATCACAAAAACCCTCTTTCAATTGCATTCACTGAAGTAACTAAACCATGTTGATCAGAGCTTGCAAGTCTCCTATCTTCTTTCTTCTTCCACTGCTCTGCCTTTATTGTGTGTCATCCTGTCTGAGTTATGAGGTCCCATACCCAAAAACTGATCTTGACTGATATATAGAACGTTGCCATAGTACTGTGGAGTTCTCAGGACTAATCGAATGTGCAAGTCGATGCGAGCATAAATACGAAAAGGGAGGACGGGGAGGCAGCAACAAAGGAGAGCGTGAAGCATCAAAAGACCCAAAGAGTCCTCGATGGGAGATTGAACGCTGCCAACGACGTTGCTGTTAGGAGATCCAAACATTCAAACACACACGAATTTACGTGGTTCGGCAACTTGCCTACTCCACGGAGCTACTGGTTTGTATTAATCAAGCTCAAAAGCAATACAAACAACAAAACAAGGAGGAGGAGAAAACTTCTCAACTCAACTCAACTCTCACCCTTAGCTCTCTCTCTGTGTTTCTCTCTATCTCGTGGTCTGTCTCAATTATCAATACATCTTCTATTTATAGCTGAGGAGGGAGATGATTGTTCAACAATGGTGGGCAAGTTAGGCACCTACCATTTGACTATAATTTCAACCATGGCTGCCACCAACCATGGCTGCCACCAAACATGGCTACCACCTACCATGGCTGCCACCGTCCATTTATGTCCACACACATAACAATCTCCCACTTGGACACAAATGGTGTTAGGTCTGTCTTTTAATCTTCAAGACCCACTGAAGCTTTACACAGCTTCAGTTTATCGAGAGTAACTCCTTTGGTTAACATATCGGCTGGATTCTTGCTTTCACAGATCTTTTCAAGTAACAGTTGTTCATCGTCGAGCAATTGCCTGATGAAGTGATATTTGATCTGTATGTGCTTTGTTCTGGAGTGAAATGCTGGATTCTTGGCAAGGAAGATTGCACTCTGACTGTCACTATACAAAGTACCTTTTCCATGCATCTTGCCCAATTCTTGCAGGAAACTCTGTAGCCATACTATCTCTTTTGCGGACTCTGAAACTGCAACATATTCAGCTTCTGTCATTGAAAGAGCAACTATCTTTTGCAAGGTAGAACTCCAAGAAACAGCAGTGCCTCCTAGAGTGTATATATAACCTGTAGTACTCTTTCTGCTATCAACATCTCCTGCTAGATCAGCATCTACAAAGCCTTCAAGTTTCAAACCGCCAGCTGTGAAAATAAGACATGTCTCCGATGAGCCTTTTAAGTACCTCATGATCCATTTCACTGCCTCCCAATGCTGCTTTCCAGGATTGCTCATATATCGGCTTACAACTCCCACTGCATGGGCAATATCTGGTCTAGTACAGACCATGGCATACATCAAGGAGCCGATAGCTGAGGCGTATGGGATCTGGTCCATGTATCCACGTTCTAGCTCAGTTTTTGGTGACTGGTCTTTACTGAGCTTGAAATGATTCCCCAGAGGTGTACATACTGACTTAGCATTATCCATACTAAACCTGCTGAGAACCTTCTTGACATACTCTGCCTGTGAAAGCTTTAGTATGCCTTTGTCTTTGTCTCTGATGATTCTCATGCCAAGTATTTGTTTAGCAGCTCCCAGATCCTTCATTTCAAACTGTTTTGACAACTGTTGCTTTAGCTTGTCAATCTCTTCCATGCTGGAACTTGCAATTAACATATCATCCACATATAGCAGTAGAATGATATAGGAGTTGTCAAAATGTTTGACATAGCAACAATGATCAGCCTGACATTTTGTGTATCCCGTACTACTCATGAAGTTATCAAACTTCTTGTACCACTGTCTTGGAGCTTGCTTCAAACCATATAGACTCTTCTTTAGTTTGCAAACGTGACTCTCCTTTCCTGGTATTGCAAACCCCTCTGGTTGTTGCATGTAAATGTCTTCCTCCAATTCTCCATGAAGAAATGCTGTTTTTACATCTAATTGTTCAAGATGTAAATTTTCTGCAGCTACTATCCCCAGAACAACTCTGATTGTTGTAAGCTTCACAACTGGAGAAAATATCTCAGAATAGTCGATCCTCTTCTTTTGCTGAAACCCTTTTACAACAAGTCTTGCTTTGAACCGTTTGCTTCCGTCATGCTCGGTCTTTACTCTGTAAACCCACTTGTTTTGCAGGGCCTTCTTTCCTTCAGGCAGTTTGGTTAACTCCCAAGTCTTGTTCTTCAGCAATGACTCCATCTCATCCTTCATGGCTAACTCCCAATTGCTCGAGTTTCCATCTTGTAAGGATTCTTCATAATTTAATGGTTCACCACCATCGGTCAGCAAGATATAATTCAGTAGAAGTGTGAACCGTTGTGGAGGCTTTATAGTCCTTGAAGACCTGCGAACAGCTGGTTCACTTGGCTCTGCACTATCTTGTGTAGAAGTGGTGGGTACTGAAGTGCTTGAACTATCTTGTGTGGACTCTTGAGTGGTAACATCAGGAAGCCCTTCTAATTGTATGAATTCAGATTTCTGTGAACTCGTATCTGAATCAGTTATCTCTAGTTCTGTACTTGATTTGTCTTTGTACAAAACTTTCTCGTTGAAGATCACGTTCCTGCTTCTGATAATCTTCCTGTTCTGATCATCCCAGAACCGAAATCCAAATTCTTCATCTCCATAGCCAATAAAGAAACATTTCTTTGATTTGGCATCCAGCTTGTTGCGAGCATCAGAGTCTACATGTACATAGGAAACACACCCAAAGACTTTTAGGTGAGCAAGCTGTACTTCTTTTCCTCTCCAGACTTCCTCGGGCAGTCTGAACTCCAAAGGTACTGATGGTCCACGGTTGATCAAGTAAACTGCAGTATGAACTGCATCAGCCCAGAATGTTTGAGGTAGCCCAGAATGCAACCTCATGCTTCTAGCTCGTTCATTGATGGTCCGGTTCATCAGTTCAGCAATACCATTCTGTTGTGGTGTGCCTGGAACTGTCTTTTCCATTCTGATACCGTTGACAGCGCAATACTCCTTGAAACCTCCATCAATGTATTCTCCTCCATTATCAGATCATAAGCATTTCAGCTTCAAACCTGATTCAGTCTCAACCATAGCCTTCCATTTCTTGAACGTGTCAAACACATCAGATTTATTTTTCAGAAAGTAGACCCATACCTTTCTGCTAAAGTCATCAATAAAAGTGACATAGTACCGAGAACCGCCAAGAGATGCTACTGGAGCTGGTCCCCATAAATCTGTGTGCACCAGTTCTAGTTTTCTTGGTCTTAAGGTCCTGCCAACCTTTAAGAAACTGAGCTTCTTCTGTTTTTCGAGAACACAGCTTTCACAAATGTCTAGATCAACATTTTTTAAATATGGCAGCTTTCCCTTTGACTGAAGTATCTTCATCCCCTTTTGACTCATATGGCCGAGTCTACAATGCCATAGCTGCGCCTGATTTTCTGCTTCAGTAGAGGCAATTATATCTGCTGATCTTGTGGTCATATACAGGGTGCCGGTTTTCTTTCCACGAGCCAAAACCATTGCTCCCTTTGATACCTTCCACATTCCTCCAGAGAAAAGGATTGAATGGCCACTATCATCAAGTTGTCCGACCGAGATCAACTTCTTCTTTAGTTCAGGAACATGTCTTACATTTTGCAAGTTCCATGTAGATCCATTCATTGTCTTGATTTGCACATCTCCTATACCCACAATATCCAATGGTTGTCCATCGGCCAGATAGATTACCCCATAATTTCCAGCAGTGTAATTTTGCATCATTTCATGGTGTGGAGTACAGTGAAATGAAGCTCCAGAATCAAGAACCCAATCATCAATAGGACTATGTACTGCAAGGATCAAAGCATCTTGTACCTCATCTGTAGTGGCATTTGCAGAATCAGCTTCAGGTTTCTTTGGTTTTGTGCAACTCCTCATAAAATGGCCAGGTTTGCCACAATTCCAACATTCAACCTGCTTCCGGGGTCCAAACTTGCTTTTGCTTCTGTACCTGGATTTTGATCTGCCTCTGGATAAGCCTCTGTCTTGTCTCCTTCCTCGAGTGTTGATGTTGAAAGCTGAACCTGAACTTGAGCTTTCACCCGAGTCTTTTCTTCGTACTTCTTCAGCTAAAATCAGGTCTCGGATATCATCATACTTTAATTTGGATTTTCCAGCTGAGTTGCTTACGGCTGTTCTCATACCTTCCCAACTGCTTGGAAGTGAAGCTAGCAAAATAAGTGCTCGGATCTCATCATCAAACTCAATTTCAACGGATGACAATTGATTTGTGATGGTGTTGAAATTATTAAGATGCTGTGTAACAGAGGTGCTTTCTGTCATCTTCAGGTTGAACAGCTTCTTCATCAAGTGCACTTTGTTATTTGCTGATGGCTTCTCATACATCCCAGACAAGGCTTCCATCAATCTTGCTGTGGATTTCTCTTTTGTAACATTATGAGCAACTCTTCTTGACAATGATAACCGGATAATGCCCAAGACTTGTCTATCAAGAATTTGCCAATCTTCTTCTGACATGTTTTCTGGCTTGCTCCCCAACAGAGGAAGATGAAGTTTCTTCCCATATAGATAATCTTCAATTTGCATTTTCCAATATCCAAAATCAGTTCCATCAAATTTTTCAATTCCTGCAGCCTTTATTTCATCAGCCATTTTTACTCTTTCTCGGATTTGAATCTCAAAAATCTGACCTTACAGATGTGTCCGGAATGGCCAAAAATACTGGAAACGACACTGAGATCACCTAAATCGGACTTCGGATGGCTCCGATTTAAACAATCAAAGTTTGGGATAACTGGACGCTGCAGATGAAGCCACGTGGCAGGAGGAATAGTCGCTGCGCCACACCGGATCAAAACCCAGGTATGCTGACGTGTCAGGATGACGTGTCACACAAGTAGGCAATGTGGGGTCCACCGAATCTGACGTGGCAACCCCGCAGAGATTTTTGGATGACGTGGCAGTGCTGACGTGGTGATGACGTGGCAGGGATGACATGGCTGCTTGACCGGTCAGACTGCTGACGTGTCAGGGGCGCGCGGCTGCTGACTATGCTGGACGGCTGACGTGTCTGCTGATGTGGCAGTGTCGATTTGCAGGAATTGGCGAGGAAGACGCGTGACGCGCGTACGGCGCGTCGGTGCGCGTGGGCAGTCCTGGTGGTGGCGCGTGTAGGCGCGTGCGGGCATGCAGGACGTCGGATGTTCGCCGGGTTTTCACCAGTGGATTCCTCTCGTCGTCCTCTTCACGGTGGTATGTTCAAAAACACGTTTTGAGAACTTTGATTTTTGAGTTTGGATCAAACACCCTCTTTTTCAAGAACTTTCAAGAACAAGCTCTGATACCAGTTGTTAGGAGATCCAAACATTCAAACACACACGAATTTACGTGGTTCGGCAACTTGCCTACTCCACGGAGCTACTGGTTTGTATTAATCAAGCTCAAAAGCAATACAAACAACAAAACAAGGAGGAGGAGAAAACTTCTCAACTCAACTCAACTCTCACCCTTAGCTCTCTCTCTGTGTTTCTCTCTATCTCGTGGTCTGTCTCAATTATCAATACATCTTCTATTTATAGCTGAGGAGGGAGATGATTGTTCAACAATGGTGGGCAAGTTAGGCACCTACCATTTGACTATAATTTCAACCATGGCTGCCACCTACCATGGCTGCCACCGTCCATTTGTGTCCACACACATAACAGTTGCGAGAGAGAGGAACGTGGAAGAGGAGAGCTTCAACAAAGAAAGCAACGTTGCGAAGAGGAAGCGATCAAGGAGAGAGAGCAAGAGCAAGAAAGAGGGCAACGAGAAGGTGAGGGACAACGAGGAAGAGAAGAGGATCCTTGGGAAGAATTCGATGAGTTCGGTGAACTCTGCCAAAAATAACAACCACACCAGTAACCCCAATGTGAAAGGAGGTGCGAGCGGCAATATGAGGAAAGACAGAGAACAAGAAGAGAAAAGGCACGGAAGAGGCAGAGGCAGAGGAAGCTCTGCTGGGATGTTGTCTTTAATGGTCAACAATATTTGCAGTCTATCTAAAAAGAGTATTCTCATTGTTAAAAGACTATAATAATAAGTGAATAATTATTAAATAACTTATAATGGATAAAATGATCTAACCCATACTATTATTGGTGTAATAATTTATGATCAAGTTATCTCACCATTCATGCTTATAAATAAAGGTATAAATTAGAGAGCAAAATAAAAGAAAGGGCAAATCAAAGAGAAAAAAATATAAATAGAAGTATAAATTAGAGAGCAAAATAAGAGAAAGAGCAAATCAAAGAGAGAAAAGAAGAGAAAAATAGACTGCAAGGGTAGCAATCCTGCTGCCATGTGTAGAAATGTGTGAGAGTAATGAAAGTAGAGTTTGAGTGAAGTGATCTTTCTTTTTCATTTGTATTGTAACCCTTTCTATATTTATCTATAATAAAATTGGCTTCTCTCGTGAATAGAAGTGATTTGTCAAATCATGTTAAATATTGTATCAGTGTGTTTAATCTTTAATGGGCAACTATCATAACATCATCGATTGAAATCTTTAACAAGCTCAAATAAAAGAAGCAAACAACATAAGGAGCAACATAAGTAAAATCCCTACTCCTTCCATTCACAAAGATTGAAGTCACAATTTAGGAGCCAAAATGGTCATTTCAACTTCTTAAGAGGTTCTTTAAGAAGTTTGAGCTTTTATGTGGCCTTGAAAATTATTGCTTTGAAATTATTGAGGCAAATCTTAACACTTTTGGTATCCCATACCATTATGATTTGGATATTGTTTTGTTTTTCCAAAGGGATAAGTCTTCTATCAATTATTTTATAGTAAATTTGGTTTGGACCATGCATTAATTTCTTGTAATGTTATTACTAAATTTTCATTTTTTCTTTTCAGGAAAGGGAATTATGACCTTTGTGTCATAATGGAAGAGAGAATCTTACAGCCTAGAGCATGGTGATGCGATGAAGGTTTAGGCAGGGGTTGTTGGATACTTAATTAACCCAGACGATAATGAAAATTTAGTGTGGCTATGCTCGTTAATCCTGTCAACACTCTGGAAAATTCAAGTTAATTAGAAATGTTTTATTTTCAAGTCCTAATTACAAATATTAATTCCAACTATACAACTCTTAATTATCGACATGTAAGTTTCAATTTCTTAGTATACAATTGTATACTTTTTAATGTGTGCAGAAATACTTTGCTGCATTAGATGAAATCCCTGAGTCAATATATTTATAATCTTCAGCAATGATATTCTCGAGGCTGCTCTTGCTGTAAGCCTTTTTTATTCTTTTATAGAAAGCAAAATATCATGTTTCAGTCAATTTATATGAATTTGGTCTCGTAATCTTGTCTGATTCTACTACTATTGGCTCTAATTGCAACTAATGTTCAAGAGATTAGCTAGACAAGCTTTTTGGTCAGCAAAAGCAGGGTATGATCCTAAAAGCTCCTAGTTAAAAGCTCAAGGCATTGAGTCAACACGTTTCTTCCTCTAAACATAAACGCAGCCATGAAGGGAGAGGACCTATCAATCTACTCAATCAACGACGACCTTTATACTCCAATAAATTTGAAAGTTCTTCAAGGTTTGACATAATGATTACAAGCAGCTGCAAGATACAGATATATAATTCTTTCAAATAAATATAAAATTGATAAAATTTTTAGATTTAATATTAAATTATAAGGATTTGTTTGTTAATATAAAATGTTAAAAATAAAAAAATATCATCTTTCTATATCCTTAAATGTATACAAATCTTTGAATGACCTACTATATTTTCATAAGTATTAATATTATATAAGAAATATTTATTCATCATTAATATCATATAAGAGATATTCATCATTTATTAATATTGTGTAAGATATATTTATTCCTCATTAATATTAGAGGATATAATATTTCAACCCCTCTATTTAAGTAACATGACAAAGTTTAGAGGTTATATATACCATTTGAACCATCTATGTAAAGGGTTCATATTTTTCATATTCTCTAAGTATTCATATTCTTATTTTCCAAGCACTTATCATACACAAATAAAGGGTTCATATTTTTTATATTCTCTAAGTATTCATATTCTTATTTTCAGAGCACTTATCTATACAAATAGGAATTGATGCTTTTGTTTTTATAATTTAAAGTTTATTATCTCATTTATTACAATCTTTTACTAAAAGTCATTGATTTTATCACTAGATGATCCTTAAATCCCATCAAAATAGATTGTTTTACATGTGTTAGGTCTTTTATTACCAATTGTTAACTTTGTGAACCCTTGAAAAGAGAATATTGACATGAACGCGTGATCATCTTCTTTTCAAATACTTAAAAACCCACATTTCTAAGTATATTGGATTCTAGAAAATAATTAAATGGATTTCATTCAAACTATACTTTTTTTACGAAAAACTATGGTTTTTTTATAGGAACATCAATATTTTTTTTATTAAGAGTTTTTGCAAGAGGTTAGTTGAAAAACTAAATAAAGAGATATTTTTCTAATATGTTAGATTACATATTAGGTTTGTTGTCATTAATGTGCAGCAACCATTAATGGACAACACTATCTATTGACTAATGTAACGACCCATACCAAATATCAAATTTGGTAGCTACCATTATTGAAGATAAACTGGAGTTGGTGCCACCTTTCTTACCCATAAATAGGCACTAAAAGAGCAAAGTAGTGTGTGTATAGTAGTAAAGCAAAAAAGAGAAAAGAGAAAGAAAGAAGGGCTGCCAATGACAATATCCCTGTTGCCTTGAACAGGGGATGCAAGTGCAACAATGAGATATGAGAGTTGAGTTGAATGGATGTGATTGTCCTCCTCTATATATTTGTGTTGTATTCTTTTTCTATCTCTAATAATATAAATTACTCTTATGAATGTAGGCGATTTGTTGAACCACGTTAAATATTATGTGTTAGCGTGCTAAACCTCCAATAAGCAATCCCTAATAATTGATATCAGAGTATGTGGTTTAAAGTGGTGTTTGATTTTTGTCTAAAAAAGTTATCAACATAGCGTTTTCACCATACCATTATGGATAAGAGGAAGAAGAGACGGGACCAATGATGAAAATTATGTAAATTTCTGACATGTGACATAGTTGCACCCGTCAACATATGCTGACGCGCCCTATATGAGCCATGAGTCTTCTTTGCCCAGATTGGCTGAACCAACCCGCATATTAGACGACCCGATCCACGTGACTAACCTAGATGGGGATGACATCAACATGACATAATCATAGAGTCAACATGCATAGTTGACATGTCATATTAGCGACCAGTCGTTTGACACGTCAGCACAGTGAAACCCACTTGACATGTCATCAGTCGCGAGCTGAGCTGAGTGGAGTCGAGTTTGAGTTGAGTCAAAAGATAGGATTCAACATAGGTGACAACAAAGAATCTGTATATGTATATGTATATAAAGATAAATCGATTTACAAACTATTAATATCAAAAATATATATTAAATGTTATTCTCTTACTGAGTTGGATGAACTCACCCCTTATTTTTAATATTATTTCAGGTTATTAGTTTTTGATGAACTTTGTTGAGTGTTTCTGCTTCTTCAGTTTTGGGTCGGTACGCCTTGCTTATTTTTCGAGACTTTCCTTTTAGTTTTGATTTGATATCTTAAGCGCTCCAATATTATCTTATTTTAATTAAGTTTAGATTTTGACAATGTAATAAGTATTATGAATTATTGTTTTTGTTTTAATTACTTATGAGGAGTTTTAAACTATTTTTTGTTTTATCAGTTTTAAATAATATAATATTTTTAAAGATTATGAAATGCTATGTATTTTGAATAAGTTATTTTTTTAATATATCTGTTTTGAAACTTAACATAAATAAGATGTCCTTTCAACATCGTTCCTGCGTTGTCAATCACATATTTGAGATTCGGGTTGTGACACCACTGGTCCATGAAAAAATCCCCAAAACTTTACAATCTAGGCAAAAATAAATAAATGACTAAATTATGTGAGTAGTCAAACATATTTTCGATTTTTTGATGATTTGGTGGTAGTTACTGTTATAAATGACAATTAAGTGAAGACTATATTCGACAGAAAGAGAAATTTATTTAAACTGTACAGCTATGTCAATTAGATCGATGATAAAAGGAAAGAAATCCGTAGATTTTGATGATTGAGGATTATCCAGTTACGGTTATGCATGTGTTTGCAATTTCTTGTTTGCTATAAAATCCCACTGAGATGATTCAGTTCTTACCCAAGTTTTTTAAGATGGAGATGGTCAAGGTCGTCGCTGTCCGCCATTTGCTTTTGCTTGTCCTTGTATTTGTCTCAGGTTTGTTGAACAAAATCTTGAGCCAGATCCTGCGCGCTCTCGTCTAATCTCTCCTAATTCCCTCAAAAACAATACTTAAGTTTTTAATATTTCAGATTTTATTTTACTTTAGTTAAATTTGTTGTGCGTTAATGTATTGTGCTTATGCAGGTACAACCACTATGTTGTCTGTTAAGGCCGGAGATTGCCGGGGTGGATATCTATCCACGATCGGAGGTGGCTGTCCAGACAAACAACAGTGCTTGGAAGTATGCAGGCCATGTTACCGAGGTTATGGAGTTGTCGAAGCCTACTGCGTTGGTCCAGGCGGTCCGTTCCCATACTGGGAATGTCGCTGTGCATTCAAGAAAGGTGCACCCTGCCCACCACCAGGTCCTCCGCAATGTCCCGGGAGGTGGCCGCCTCCCCTGACCAATTCAACCACCCTCAGTGGAACTCTTGTGTAATCCCCCGCTACTACGATGCTTCTTGAAAGGAGAATAAGAAGAATAAGCTAGCAGAACAATTATTCCTTTTCTTTTCGAAATTATTTTCTTGTGCGTCGAGAATGGAGAGGAATCAAGGCAGAATTTCACGTGACATGACCCACTCTTAAGCTAAAGACTAATTCTTTTTTATTATTCCCCAAACTAATTCGTTAATTTAAATTAAATAATATTTCAAATTGGCTGTAAAATACATAAATACAGATATTAAACTTTTATAAGAATTAAAACATGAAGAAAACAAAAACCGTCTACTATCTTGTTTCTAATATATTATATTTGAAGATTTTTTAACAACAACAATGTGAAAAATAAGGTAATATAATCCAATTATATTTGAATATTTATCTTCAATTTAAAAAATATTGTAAGAATAAGAATCATAATAAAAATTAAATAAAAAAGCCAAGCGCGGGTCTCCATCTAGTTAACGAATTATTTCATATGACATAATGACTTGTTTTGAGCCCGTAAACTAATTATTTTAAATAAATACAAGTCTAGCAGGGAGAGGCATGTGTATTATGTTACATGATCTTTTTCTTAGGCAGTTAATGAATTCGGAGAGATCCCTGTATTTTCTTCCCTTAAAATCCCCACATAAAAAAATTTAATCAAATCCTTATACTTATTTCTCCATATTATTAATCTTTTCATTGCTAAAGGTGTTATTTAACTTCGTAATATATTTTGAAATATATTAAATGAAAAAAAAATTAAAAAATAGCGATAACAAGGTAAATGGGCTTTGTGTAGGATACTCGAAGATGAGAATAAAAAACTTGGTAGATTTATAAACTTATTACAAACGAGAAAGAATACAAATAGTTAATCAATCCCTCCATCATCTGATGCAATTCTCTCGTTTACATGGAGAAAGGGTGCCGCTGATCCACCAAGCTTACACATTTGTGCTCCTCAAGGAAACTTGATATGCAGTTTACCAGCAACTTCCTTGTCAAAGCAGTCAGTGTCGCACTTCATTTCACAGAAGGTCTGGCCTTGGCCATCAGCTTTGCATTGCTGCTCGCAGGTATTGAAGCAGGAGCCGAACTGATCCGCGGCAGCTTTAGGAAGCTCAACTGCAGCAACAAGGACAAGGCACAGGACCAACAGTGCAGCAACTTTGTATGCCATTTTCCAAGATCTTCTTAATTTGCACTGCTGATGTTTTTTTATTTACTCCCTTGATGTGAAAAGAGGGAATGCAATCAGTTTTAATTTATAGAGGCTTCAAGTGGATACAGCGGGTGGTGAACCTCTGAAGACGGAAACGTCCGCCGATTTTTGTGTGATGTATCTCTATTTTTGGTGGTGGATTTGTGGATCTTGATGTTCGGCGGAAACCAACTCCTCTTCTCGAGGACCAAACCAATGACTCTTGTTAAAACCTCACTTCTAAATATAGTGGAGTTGTTTTTATTTTGTTTTACCTTTCATGTTTCACGTAAAGTCAAGTTCTTGAATGACAAAAAAATAAGAGTTGTATGTTTTTGTGGAAATAAAAAAATAAATAAATAAGATTTACAAATATTATATAAATTCAAGACTGTCATTAAGAAGAAACTCAAGAATTAGAGAAGAAAAAATATATCATAAAGCAACATTTTCTAATTTGTTTGTCTCGTGTGTATAATTTATTCGTTGAGTTTATGGCACTTTTTTTTATATGAATAATTTAAATTAAAAAAAATAACTGCAGTTCTCATTATCTCAAGGTATATTACAATGTCAAAAATTTCAATTCAAAAGATAATTTTTTTTTCATGTTTTTTTAGAAAATAAATAAATGATTATAACATGAAATTTTAATTTTTTATTCAAATATAAAAAAATGATAAATTAATATTCATTATTATTTAAAAAAAATTGAAAACAGTAAATACAATAAAAAACAAAAAAGGAAGAGAGAACAAGCTAGCACACTCCAGACCCACACGAGCAAGCTATGGTACCCAACGTAGGAATATTTTATTATATTGACACTTTGTGTAAGTTTCTTCCGGGATAGAAACAATAAGTCAATAACGTCAAATTATAGGGATAAAATATTTAATTAACGAAAATTACATCATTTTATTATATTATTTGTAACTTCAATATTGTTTTTGTGAGAGGATACTGTTTATTTTGAACAATAAGAACCTCTCAGTTTTAGTTTTTTTTTTGTTAGTAATTGGAATGATATACTTTCTTTCTTTTTTACACATATATTTTTAAGGCTTCCTCTGTAAACAAGCTAAATTTGAATTTAATTAAGTTTAGCTCTTCATAGCTAATTAGTGACTTAGTTAGTAACGAGAGAAATGCAGTGTAAGTTGTGTTTTTAAAATTTTTAAATTTTTATTAAAAATTAATTTTTGTATATATTTTAGATTGTTTTGATTTGTTAATCTAAAAAAATAAAAAAAATATCATTTTGATGTATTTTAATATAAAAACATTTTAAAAAACAATCACAATTACACTTTCAAACAAGTTTTAATAGGGTTGTGGGCAAAAGCTTTTATCACATGAGGTTTATTAGCCCTAAAATATGAATTTGAGCATTTTTTTTTTAATTGACACTATAGGATAGTTATTTGTTTATTTAGAATTGAAACATACATTATGAAACTTTTAATGATGAAAAATAAAATCATTTTATGTTCACTTTTTTCCTCTCATTACATTTTATAAATATATGATATAACAAATAAGTAAAATATTAAGTTTAGCTTGTTTTTAAGTTTATTACACAGTTTAAAATAATTGAGTTTAAAATGAGTTTGAATCATACACTAATCAAATATTTTTTAAAAAATAATAAGCTTGAACCTTAAAAAAACACAAGCCAAACTTGAAATTATTAAAATTAAGGTAGTGTTTTTTTTTTGTCAGCTAGACCATTTTTTAAAATTAGTTTTTGCTTTAAATTATTTTTTAATGTGTTTTTTGATCATTTTAAGTGATAATATTAAAAATAATTTCTCCTTTAATACCAAAATACTCTAAATAAATTGAAGTTAAGCGTCTCATAACCAGGTTAATTTGTATCCCTAGAAAATTTTCTTCCAATGGCTAAAATAATTGTTCCTTTCCCTTTTAAAACACACCTTTCACCGGAGAAGAAAGGCCCAAGGCCCACTATCTTAAAGGGCACTAAACCTAAACAAACACAAGGGCCCAGCCTAAGCAAATACAGTATAATTTTTTTTTTTTAACTCAGCAACAGCCACGCTTAGAAAGGCCTCCACTGCTAGAACATGTGACATGACCAAACTACCCTGCGTCCTTTAAGTCCGCATTCGGCTTTTGCCTACTTGCTGAACAAGCAGCCCCGTGGCCTTGATAAAAATATATCCCTCGCTTCCTTCCCGAAACAAATCAAAACCAGATCAAGAAAGGAGGAAAAAAAAAAAAAATGGAGTGCGTATTTGGACTAGTAGGTGACGGTTTTGTGATCGTAGCATCAGACACATCTGCCGTTAACAGCATCCTGGTTCATAAAACTAACGAAGACAAGATTATGAAACTCGACTCTCACAAGCTCGTTGCTGCTAGCGGCGAGTCAGGCGACCGGTTTGTTACTTGCCCATTACAGAATATTAACTTGCTAATAAATGATTGTTCTTTTTTTTGGCTAATGTGTTTTCTGGGTTTTGTTTTTTCAGAGTTCAATTCACGGAGTATATTCAGAAGAACGTGGCTTTGTATCAGTTTCGTAATGGGATTCCTTTGACCACTGCAGCTGCTGCTAACTTTACTCGTGGAGAGCTCGCTACTGCTTTGAGAAAGGTAATTATTTTTTAATTTAATTTCAGATTTGGGGCTCTAGGGTTTTTTTAAAGAACATTATGT